CTTTATTTCTATACTATTCACTCCGAAATATTTTGTCTAGGAATAAAACGGTTACATATTTTACCAGTGACTGTGACCTGTTAAAAACTATTTGACAAGTATGAAGTGATTAGGGAAAATATATTCAATTAATTGAGTACATTCTTTATGATATCCCAGTGTATAAAAGATATAGAATCTGTTCTACCTTGCAATCTTCATAGATACAAGTGTCACATGCGTCTACTTTTCTGCATATGTTGCTCTCACTTTTATTTTAGGAACTGTCAGAGGCGAGGGTTGCCCTTTCACTGATTTTACATATTTAAGCAGCACCTGTGATATGACATGTTAAAAGGGAAAGGGATTTTACACGTCTATATTGATTAGTGGGAAAATATATTAAATGAATTGAATATATTACTTTTGATAAATCCCAATGTATAAAAGATATAGAATCTGCTGTAAATTGCAATGTTCAGAGATACAAGTGTCAGAGCCGTCTACTTCTCTGTGTCTGTTGCTCTCGCTGGTTATTTAGGAACTGTCAGGGCCAAGGAGGCCCTTTGAGTGATTTTGCATGTATTCCTGTATTTGAACAGGGTGACTTGTTTCTCTATTTTCGTGAAGGGACGGGTTGAAATGGGCCACGCGGGATTCAGATTCCACTAGACGACCTCTATTTCCCATGCTAAACCCCACTAACAATGGTTGGTCTTGATTCTCCACGGGGCTTAATGTCACATATCGTTCTTTTAATACTTATTTATATTTTGTGGGATTTGGAATAGGTAAATGCACTGCTGCTGATTCTTTTAAGCATGGTGCTCCAAATTTTGCCCTTCGGTAATGTCGAACTTGGTATGAGTACTTTTGTGTTTATTAAGCTCTCTCATGTGATATTTTATTTTGTCCTCTTAGTACCTGCTGCAAGTTTTTTTTGGTGGCGAGGCAATGGAAAAACAGCTTATGTAAATGAATTAGAGCACTTATAGCTATCTCATCTCTTTATTCATTCTTCCTGTCGCGATATGATCTCTTTATTGATTGTTCCTGTGCTGATCTGATCTCTTTTGATTGTTCCTGTCCTGCCTAACCCTCCTCCCATAAATCCCTCGTGGCCGGACCAGGCGCGAGGCATCCTGTAAACCCTCCAATTTCATTACACCAATTGCATTGGACCAATTTTTAGTACCGATTTTTGGTAAAGTCTTCTATTGTTTGTTTTTTCACAGTATTGATTGTTCCCTAAATTTTACGTCCTTCTTTTCATTGTTCTCAGTAGTTATTCAAAAAGGATTTATACATTTCAGACTGTAATGTGTTTTTAAAGTAAATTTAGTATTGATTTCATTCCCAATATAAACTTATTCAATCACTACTTTTTAATAAAAGTACACCAAATTCTTAACACAACCTATTTCCAATATTGTTACTCAGTGAAATCATTTAAACTCCTACATTCTAAGACCATATTTCTCAAACAATTTCTCACATTTTTTTAATGGAAGTGTCTGTAATTGGCCATCGGAGATAGTGAAAAAACAAGCCTCTTTTCACCATTTTACCGATGCCCATGATCATGTATTCAACATCTGATTTCAGTCATACAATGACCACTGTGAAATTAACTTTGCTACTCATTAGTTGTTGATTTTTGATGCAGTTATAGAGTTTCAATAATAGAGAACAACCCTGACCTTCCAACATATGTGGAAATCTATTTCCTAAACATGTTTTTGTTATTACTGTTAGGTACAAACTAGTACATCACCTGTGCGATGCACGGACAGATAAACGATGATGCTTCAGAAATCATAAAATTTATTAAATTTTAAATAGAATTACTAACATAAAAATGTGTATTAAAAATAGAATGATTAGTTAATAATGAGGTAAACTGGGTGCTGGGATGAACATCGCTTCCTGCTTGAATAATGTTATTTAGTTAATAAGACAATTATTTAAAAAAAACTACAAAAGATTTGTGATAAAAAAAATTGAAAATTATTTTAACAGTAACAAATACTCCGTAAATAGCATTACACTCTTCCACTCTCAGCCCGCCCAAATGAGTGTGATGCATCGGCCAGTCCAACATTCAGTCAAGTCTAGTCCAACTTAAAATTCTTTCTCCTTCCGCCGCAGCTATCCTGACCATATCTTCCGCCTTCTCCTATCTCCTACTTTTTTCTCAACCCTCCAAATTTCTATAGTAATACCGGTTTGTGCTACGATGGAGTTCACCTCCTACGTTGCTTACATGTACGTTTTGGTTCTCTCTCTTGTATCCATCTGTTTCTGTTTCATTTCTTTTATTTTTTTATTTTTTTCGTAATTCTATTGGCTTCTTATCACACACTGAAGAAATCGAATGTCACCCACTTATTCAAAACAAAAGGATGATGTATTCTCATTTTTAAGATGAGACGCTCTCCGATGATAGACCAATTTTTTACATATTATGATTTTTATTTCAGATCTCATTAAATCTCAGAAATAGGATTATTTATATGTTTTGTTTTTTAGGACAATCTTTTCTCCATGATTTTTGATAATTTTTGGGGTTCATATAAGATTTAGATGTTTTTATTAGATCTCTTCAAAAGGAGCTTATCTGCTTCGATTCGAATCACGAAGAATTTGTTCACAGATCCATGCATGTTCAGATTTGTAATTTGACAACGAATGCATGATGTTAAAAATCATGTGTAATAGAGGAGGTCTCCGATGATAGACCTGATATATTGATGGTATTTTATGTTAAGTGTTTAAACTTGTTTTACAATATTGAAGGATTTTCTAAATTCTTTTAGGATTTAGATGAAAATCTGAATTTACTTCTTAAATATTGTGGTTGGTAGTAATATTCATGAATATTTAAAACAACAATGTCTCAGTGAAATTGTTTTCCTGTTAATTTTTAGTTATATATATTCTACAGCTTTTAATCTAAATATTCTACTCCATTTATTTTATAAACAAAGAAAGCATTAACCTTAAGCTTAAAACTGCAATTATATATATAATATTTTCAAAACCTGGTATGTAATCTGGTTATGTCTGGCATTTTATCTATATTCTGATCACAATGGATCAAAGTTAGACAAATGTACCATGACCATAAGGCTTTAATTTCTTACAGGAGGATTTTATTTAAAATGAAGTGAAGTAAATTATGTAAGTCATTTCATATATAGTTCATTCAATTTTTTTAAGTATAATGTGTACAAAACAAAGTCATAGAATAATTAAACAACTGAATTCTTTTACTTGTTATTTCAGGTTTGATATTTTGTAAAGAAGCTGCTTGTGATGCAAGTAAGTATAATTAAAAATTACTA